CTTTACAGTTTTTTAGTAGCCTAAAATTAACCAAATGAGTAGTAACATAGTACTGTTTAAAAGAGTGATTAAAAATTCATCTCAGAATTTTGCATTATAGGTGACTATTAAATGTGACTTGTGGAATCAGTAAGTACTGAAGTACTGAGCATTAAATTTCTGACACTTCTAAGTACAAAATTATTTCAAGTTCCATAAACTAAGAGATGCATAGCTATATAAAAATAGGAAGTCCAGTCCCATACATGTGAAAGCAGAGGTCTCACTTGCACAGAATAATATTGTCTGGAAGTGAAGCAGCCATGGCTTGCCGTGTTTGCTGCTTTTGTTCAGTCTTGTACTAGTTGCAAATTTTTTATAGCCTTAAATTAAGAAGATGAAGTTTGGTTTAGAGCTCAGCTACAAACATTGCATTAGTCTTTTGAAGCTCTTTCCTTGGAGTAATTCTTCAACTTTCTGATTCTTATCCTGCAGAACTCTCCCAATGACCTCCAGATGTTATCCGATGCGCCCGCCCATCATCTTTTTTGCCTTCTGCCCCCTGTTCCACCGACCCAGAATTCACTGCCAGAAGTGCTTGCTGTTGTTCAGGTGGGAGAGCTGCACGTGTGTATGAAGTGAAGTGTTCAGTGATACCTCGGGAGGCAGCAGTATGCCCTTTCGGAATAGATGGTGTGGCTGGAGGAGGAAAGACTGTAGGCTCATGGCTTTTTATTGACTTCTGGCAGGTGTGCATGGAGGGAGAGATCTCTCGCCAGTCTATCATGAATAGCCTTTCAAGGGGAAAGAAGGCTTCTGGTGATCTTATTCCCTGGACCATTTCAGAGCAGGTAAATAGTTTAGCTGTCCACTTACACCCGAGATGTATTTGATTGCTTATTTACAGAGTATGCATCTGTGTTCTTTAAATTGGCTTATGTTTCTTGTGCAGTTCCAAGATCCAGATTTTGGGAGCCTCTCTGGTGGACGTGTTGTTCGAATTGCAGTCCATCCGGATTATCAAGGGGTAAAATATTTTGGATTGCACTTATTGTAAACATCTTTCTTCCCCTCCAGCTCCCCCCCCCCC